ACCCTGGAGATAGGAAAGAAGGGAAGAGCTTGGTTCTGTCCAGCACCAGACAAGGTGATCCATCGACTAGTGATCTATCTAAAAGAGAGGCAATATTAATCAGGCTTTCTCTTGAGGTTTAGAAGTGAGGATCGTGAGGGTAATTTTCTTTGGCAGGAGGAGCTGAGAGGCCACTTGGGTTCCCTTTCTGGGTAAACAAAAATGAAGGCAACATCAAGATTGTGGTTCCGTGTGTCCTTCGACCAGTGACAGAGCCCATAGTAGAGACTTGGTGAGGTTCCTGTGCTGTCCTGAAATGCAGGCTAGCTTGCAGTTCTCATGCGGGAGCCCCTGTCTGCCAGCAGCTCATGTGCCCGGGGTCCCAGACTGGGACTCTCCTCACCTCCCGGGAAGCATTCCAGGGAATCTGTGGTTTAGTCTCCCAGGTTCTCCTGGACTGGGTGAGCTTGGCTGAAGCAGAGCTCTGTGGGCCTGAGTTAAATCCATGGTTCTCTCCTTGGAGTAACTAACGCCTCCCCTCCTTAACACCCCAATGGCTTCCTATTGCAGATTAAGTCAGGGCTGCTGCTAGACAAGGACTCTACCAGTGAGCTGTGTCCCCAGCCAGCAGTTACTTAACTTCTGAAGCATCAGTGTCCAACACGGAAATCCTGAGGCAGTGATGCTCACAGATTACATAACACAATACAACAATCTGCACTGTAGTTGGCTTTTTTGTTTTTGTTTGTGTATTGTTTTGTTTTGACACCCGGGGACCTGCCCCCCAGTTCCCAGGCAAACACACGCAGGCTTAGTTTTACTTAGGAAGCCCAGCCTAAATTGGGCTTGTCTCTAGCCTGCCTTTCTAACTTAAATGATCCCATTTCTGTTTCACTGTCTCTTGCCTCTGGGCGTTTTACCTTTCCTAACTCTATGTGTCTTCCTACCCTCCTCACTCCGTGGCTGCCTCTGTGGCGGTGTGGCTGGGTGTCTGGGCCCTGGGTACTCCTCTCCTCGTTTTCCTTTTCCTCTTGTCTTGAGCCCAGATTTCCCCTATTTATTCTCTCTTCCTAACTGCCCAACCAATCCTGTGGTGTGCCTGACTAAGAGGGCATTCGGCTCTTTAGCTGACCAATCAGGTGTTTCAGGCAGCTTTACACACTTAAACAGATGCAACATAAAAGAATGCAACATCTTTGCCTTGTTCTACAGAAACTCCAAAGCATCAATAAATGCAATGCTTCACACACTAATTTCGCTCAAAACTGTGTGCTGTCTATGGGCGGCAATAGTCACACCTGTTGGTGTCTCCCCACCCCTTCTTCCTACTTTAGAGCTTTCCAGCTACCCCTCTTCTCACCATTAAGCTGTTCTAGTTTGCTATGTAGGGTGCCTACGAATTGGAGAGAACTTAGAGATTGCAGCAAATGCCTCAATCTCTGCACACAAGGCTCTCCAAGAACCAACTTGACACTCCCTTATCCTCTCATCCACAGAACGTGGGAACGTTCTAGCAGTAAGTACTTAGACGAAAACTCCCAACTTCTACCACACCCAGTCCTGGTCAGAATATTCCTAAAGAGATGTTCAGTCTGAAATGTCTGACCCCTCATCAAAGCTATGTGCCACTTGGGCTTCTTGTACAGGCAGAAAGGTAGGAAGTTGATGAGTGATATCATGTGCATGGTGAGAGATGTCCTGTGCGTGGGGAGAGAGATGGGCAGAGATGTCCTGTGCGTGGGGAGAGAGATGGGCAGAGATGTCCTGTGTGGTGGGAGAGAGATGGGCAGAGATGGACTGTGCGTGGAGAGAGAGATGGGTAGAGATGTCCTATGCGTGGGGAGGGATGTCCGGTGCGTCGGGAGAGAGATGGGGAGTGACATCCTGTGCATGGAGAGAGATGGGCAGAGATGTCCTGTGTGTGGAGAGAGAGATGGGCAAGGATGTCCTATGCGTGGGGAGGGATGTCCGGTGCGTCGGGAGAGAGATGGGGAGTGACATCCTGTGCATGGAGAGAGATGGGCAGAGATGTCCTGTGTGTGGAGAGAGAGATGGGCAAGGATGTCCTATGCGTGGGGAGAGAGATGGGCAGAGATGTCCTGTGTGGTGGAAGAGAGATGGGCAGAGATGGCCTGTGCGTGGAGAGAGAGATGGGTAGAGATGTCCTATGCATGGGGAGAGATGGGGAGAGATGTCCGGTGCGTCGGGAGAGAGATGGGGAGTGATATCCTGTGCATGGAGAGAGATGGGCAGAGATGTCCTGTGTGTGGAGAGAGAGATGGGCAGAGATGTCCTGTGCATGGGGAGAGAGATGGGCAGAGATGTCCTATGCCTGGAGAGAGAGAGATGGGCAGAGATGTCCTGTGTGTGGAGAGAGAGATGGGCAGAGATGTCCTATGCGTGGGGAGAGATGGGCAGAGATGTCCTGTGTGTGGAGAGAGAGATGGGCAGAGATATCCTATGCGTGGGGAGAGATGGGCAGAGATGTCCTGTGCACAGGAATGAAGGGAGTGATGAGAAATGCTTTTTGTTCAACGGCTCTTCTCCGAGAAAATCTAGGCCTCACCCCTGAGGTGCCAATGAGACACTTGGATTCTAGCGATGATTGGCTCACACAAGGGAAGGAAGAAATCCCTATGCAGAGAGTCCTGCCCCTTAAGAGTCCCTCAGAATTTTGATACCTAAGCCCCACCCCTCCCACGGTTCCTACAGGATCACTGCCACCTCCACACTTCTGGGGATCTTGACCCCTTCAAGGGGGATGTTTTCCCTTAGAATGGCCTTGGCACCCCAATGCACATACATGTTCAATTTCCCTGTCTCAAGTCAAAGAGAGCAAAAGGGATTTAAGAAGCTTCAAAGGCCACCAAGACCAGGTATGACTAAACATTTCAATCTATGATGCAATAGTGTAATCTGTCCCATGTTACAATGGACCAGCAACCCCTAGGCAGAACATGGCCTTCTTTACTCACTGCAACAGGAACAGCCCCAAGAGGACCGTGGGCAACCGGACCTCTAAAATTCCTGTTGTCCTCAGAGGCCAAAGTGACTGACAGGTGACCCTCATTGGGCCTATTGGGCCTCACCCCGTCATGTCCTGGGGCTGTGAGCACCAACTGCCAGCGTCACCAACTCATGTGACTGCCTTTCCTACACCACCATGAGGGCACTCGCCTTACTTTGATTAGGACTGAGAAAACAGTGACGACAGCAATAAAGAATGTCACCTGTGGGCCTCAGCCCTCATCAACTGTGCCCTTTATTCAGTAAAGGAACGGTGGCCTTGCCAGATGGAACCGGCTAAGCAGGGCGTGGGCTGTCCTCAGCCCTGGTGGTCTGGGAGGGAGACACAGTGTACGAGGGGTAGAACATACTGTCTGAGTTGAGAGGCGGTGGGTTGCGGTCAAGTCCTGCAGAGCCAGGAATGTTTCTCCAGCACCAAGGAGTCTGTGTGACCCTCCAGACGAGCGCAGATGACCACACACCCTGGGCCAGCTGCCTCCCATCATCAGTGCCCCCGTGACCCTCCTGTAAAGTGCACATCAGATGAGCACACAGCACACCATAGGGGTGGGGTCGTCCTCTCCAGATGTGAGCACCTTCCTTTCCCCTGCTCAAACGTGGAGCTAAGACAGGGTCTTCACACCCTTACCTCAGGGCAGTAGAAGGAGATGGTGGGTGAGAAAATATTGGAAACACGCGTGCTCTCAAAGGGTTGGGTTCTTTTCCTCCGTTTCTGCATGAGCTCTGCCCTGGCTTTCCTAGGCGATGGACTTTGACTGGGATATACAAGCTCAGCAAACCCTTTCCTCCCCACGATGCTTTGGTCATGGTGTGGGCCAGCAAGCTGCAGAATGGTGGTCCCTGGCCACTTAAGAAACCATGAAACACCCTATCCATTGCTTCAGGAGGAGGAGTAGGCATCTGTCACAGAGATCATGACCCGGAGCAGAAAGATTCCTCAGGACAGAGTGGCCGTTTCCCCTCTGTCCCTCTGTCCCCACCAGTCCTCATGAGCTAGTTTATGTTTGTCTCAAAGGCAGTTAGAGCTTCACCTCTGATCCACAGACCACATCCCGTCCTCCTAATGGAGTGAACCTCAGGCACCACAACGTAGGCCTGACTGGAGAGGTTTGACGTGCACACATGAGGCTGGTCCGTGCTCTGGGAGCTGTCCCGACAATCCCTGACATGGTGATGAGACATATCAGATTTCTGGATCACGAGGGAGGAATCCAGATCTCCTATCTATAAGAGTCTCGTGGACACAGTGGTTTCCCAGGAGTCCTTGTGCCGAACAGGCATGACAGAGGCCTAGACCCTCCTGGTCCGCAGCCATCACTGCCTTCTCAGGCGGAGAATAACCCCATGCCTGAGAGACCACGGGGGCCTCCTCCTCCTGCCTGTATTCACACTGCAAGCGGTCTTTAATACACGCTGGAAGCAAGCCCCGGGCCAGGACTAGGACTAACAGGTTCAGGCTACACAGTGGCCAAGAGGTCCCCATGCCGGGGATCTTTCTGCCTTCATTGGCCCTGGTCCCAAGGACAGATGATGTAAACATGGCTGTGACAAAATCCCCTGATGATTTTGCATCTCTGCGGGATGAGGTACATTTCCAACAAGTGTCCAGCTACAAAGGCCGCTGTCACACGGCGCTGGGTGTGATTTCTAAAGCAGTAAATGTGTGTCTGTCTCTCTGGTCCACCAACGTCGAAGCTGGTGGAGGCTAGTGACTCTTTCCTCAGAAGGGGAAGGTGCTGCGGGCCCAGTGGGGAGACAGTCACTGTAAGCTGTACCCTGCTGTGATTGGCCCACTTCTCCCTTCGACCTCACAAAGAGCCACTATGAAGGGAGAATGAGCGCCCTATATATCAGACCCCGGGCTTGGCTGCTGCTCTGTCCCTGCAGACCAGGGAGCGGGTATCAGTGCGACCTGTGGGACTCTTTATTGTAGTAAGTGTTGTCTTGAGACTACGCGACCACCCGTTGGAGTGAGTGCCTCCACCACCGGCCCCATGGCCTGCCTGGCAAAAAAGGACAGCCTGGGGAGGCAATACAAACTGAAAGGGGACATCGGCCAAGGTGCGTTCGGGTGTGTAAACCTAGCCCGGCACAGATTCTCGGGCACCAGGGTGGCCATAAAGTCCGTGGAAAACCTAAGGGAACGCCTTCGGATGATCATGGCAGAGATTGAGACGTTGCAGCTCTTACAGCACCCGAACATAATCCAGCTGTTTCAGATCATAGTGACTAAGAAGCACACCTATATCATAACAGAGTACGCCTCTGGAGGAAACCTGGCAGAGCTTGTCAGGAAGGGCGGCAGGCTGCAGGAGGAAAAAGCGCAGAAACTCTTCGGTCAGATGGTGTCGGCCATCAGGTATTGCCATGATCGGGACATCATACACAGAGACTTGAAACCCCATAACATCTTGCTGGACTCAGAGGGGAACATCAAGGTGGCCGACTTCGGTCTCGCAAGAAGATGTCGGGCTGGAACTATGCTGCAGGGTAGATGCGGCACCAAGCTCTATAACGCGCCCGAACTGATAGTGAGGGAAGGCTACGACGGGAAAAAGGCAGATGTCTGGAGCCTGGGCGTGGTGCTCTATATTATCACCATTGGGCACCACCCCTTCAAAGGAAGCAGCCCGAAAGAGAGCGACGGGAACATCATCCGAGGGAGCTATGAGCTCCCATCTCACGTCTCTGGGAAACTGGAAAACCTAATTCACCAGATGCTCACGGTTGTCCCAGAGAAGAGGCCCTCCATCGAAGACATTGAACAACATCCGTGGGTCGTGAAATGTGAAGAAGACCTCCCAGATGACACCTACCTGGACCCATACATACTAGACCTGCTGGATAACCTTGGGTTTGATGCCAATGCCATCCTGGAATCTCTGCAAAAGAGAAACTACGATGAAATGATGGGGACGTACCTCATCATCAAAGAGCAGGTACGCAAGGGGACTGAGCTTGACTTCACCACCTTACCCAGGCATGTGGGCCTCGTCCTGACGCCTACCCCATTGCCAGCACGGCGTCTGAAACGAAGAGCCAGCGAGCCCATCTTTGGCATCCTGCACAGGCAGGCTTCACAACCGGACCGGCCGAAGCTGTTAGGGCGGAAATTGGCCAGAAGTGCCTCTCTGCCCCAGTATGGTCCCCAGAGGGAGATCCCCACTTGCAGCCACGCCCCGCTCTCCAGAACTTCCACTGCCACATGTCTCCTTGGCAGCATACTGAAAGAGGAGATGCCCCTGCCACGTAGGCGAGACTCTGACACGGAAACAGCATCTTCCCCTCAGAGCATCGGGTGCTGCCAGAGACTGCTCAGGAGGATCAGGGCTGGCCTGTCAAGATGGTGTTCCTGCTTCTCAGGGAGTTCAGAGACACAGACCCCACCTATGTTCACCAACCGAGTGGCTCCACTGATAGAGGAAGGGAGGAGAGAGAACCCAGGGTGGAACCGGGCAAGCAGGTATGAGAGGGTGTGTGTGAGAGCGTTCCCTTTTATGTTCTCGGCCTCAGGAAAAACCAGAAAAACCAAACAAACAGGAGCGGGTATGTATGTGGGGGTCCTAGGGGATGTTCAGTTGCATTTCTACAACAGCTGGATTAACCCTGCTACACAGCATTCCTCCTGTGGGAGAAATCCAGCTCAAACATAACTGGGTGGTCTCTGATGCGACTCAACTACCAGTAGACAGAAAACTTGAAAAGGGCGGGTGTGGGAGACGGGGGTGACGGCATGCGGACAGTTGTCCATACTGAACAGATGACTCGCGGCATTCTAGGAACGAATAGACCCCTGAAGTATCCACAGGTCCTGTGGAGATCCTTTTGTGTCACGCCTCATGCAGACACCTTTCAGATCTTTCTGGGTGCAGGCCTTGTTTAGCCTAGAACATGGAAGTCACTTACAATGTTGCACCATCTGTGCAGGCTCTCTGCTGACCTCTCTCTCTGAGCACTTTGGCCCCGTGGCTGGCTTCCTGGGCAATGCTTCCTGTTTTGCTCCCACATCCTCCTTCGGGATGAATCTGCTAATGATGGTCCCGGAGTCAGGAAGATATGGGCGCGCTAACCGTCAAGGTACTGGGGACACTCTGTCCTTCTCATCCCATGGTTTTCCATCCTCTTCCTTCTCCCTTGCAGCCCCTGGTACACGAGTCGACCTTGCAGCACGTGGGACTCTGTCTTCAGGACGGGAGGGTGGCATCTCTAAGTCACACACCCTCAGCATTGCCACCGCTGCCCTCTGTATAGTATGGAGGTAAACAGGGGTGCGGGGCTCTGCCTTTGCTGCTCTGCCACTGCTCAGAGTGACATGGGCCACTCATTCCTGTGCCTAGACTAAGATTTGTCTGAAGATGGGACTTGACCAAGGGCCTCCCTGAAAGAGGTCCTGTCTTTTTTCAGGTGCGATGGTTCCGTCTGAAAGGAGAGACATCTGGGGACCCATACTCTTATCTGTGCCTCTGACATAGTGTTGCAGCGACATCTCTCAGTGGAGGGGTAGTGTGAGAGCCGTTGTCCATGGGGAACAGGAGAGCAGGTAAGAAGGATGCTTGGGGACCTAGTGCCTGGCAGGGTGGCTATGATGAAGGCACAAAGGGGCCACTTCAGTGACTCCCTACATTTCACCTGGACACTCAAGAGTGCACTGAGCCCTGCCAAGGCTGACATCACAGGTGGAGGCCACCAGGGCGAGGCTGAGCTGGGTCCCAGCGCCCGTGTAGCTGCATGCCCAGTGTGGAGGAGATGTTTGCTGTATCACAGGACCCTCCACAGGGGCATTCCAGGGACATGCCCTCAAAGGGCAGCGTCACCAAACACACATCAGTTTCCCAACCCCCAGGCTTCCACATTGAGGAACCTGGAAGGGGGTCTCCTGACTGGTCAGAGGACAGGCATGTGATTTATGTCCCTGCATTTCCTTGCCATCCAGTTTCCCATTGTTGGCCCTCTGACTACCAAGACAGGTGGTCCATTGTTGCTGATGCTCATGGCTGAATAGACCAAGACTGGCTTGGAAGCTCCAAGTAGAATTCCCTCAACAGAGAGGGGGAGTGTGTCCTCAGGGAACCTAACGTGATGACCGGGAATATGGCAGAGGGACTATGGTCAGGGCTCTGAGGATCCACCTCAGGGTCTCCCTGCAGTTCAGATGGACAGACTGAGGCACTGGCTCGGGGATGCTCCCTGATAGAAAAGTGTGGGGCATCGGCCAGGTCTGGCAGCAACTACTCCATGTGAGATTCTGGAATCTTCCTTTGTCATGCTGCAGGCCAAGTCCATGGGACAACGGTGAACCCAAGAAAGCAGTGTGATGCCGCGACACAGGCTCCCCTGCAGGGAGCTAACTCCATTCTCAAGAGAGAGGACGCTGCGATGTCATTCCAAGCATCTGATGAACTGGTCAGAAGTGCTGAGTCTTCACGCCATCCATCCCAAGACACAAACACTTCTCTTGTCATGGGACACCAATGCTGGCCATTGTTTCTGTCCCTTCCTCCATGCAATCTACCTCCAATCACCCAAGGAGAATTCATTCCCAGGGTCATAGTAGAACCCTTTTCCAGATTATGGGAGACAAATCTGGACCGCTTTGCCCTCACAAGTCTGTAAGGACATTCAGGATGTGCTCAGTCCCTGGAAGGTTGTGTTCCAGCTGCAGGATGGGCTGAGCTGGGGCACTGTCACCATCTAATCCAGTAGCTCTTTGTCAACACACAATACTGTTGACAAGGCTGTTGTGTGTGCCCTTCGAGGTGGCATGCTGAGTTATAAAAACACCCCAGCCTGCACTTATGGGGCTATGTCACTGTGCAGACAGGAAGGCAAGGGCGAGGACCCTGGGAGGTTGCCAGGAACCATGTTGCCAGGCGGAACTGTTCCTGGGAAGTAGATAGTAAAACCCGCAGACCCTCCTCTCCAGACCTACTTTGTACGCTGGTGTGTGCGCACTGCAAGCTCAGTCGTCACCGAGGCAACGACTTCAGTCTGACACTCCTTCAGCTTTCCCTCTCCACCTTCTGGACCTGAAGAGCCTGGCGGGGGCCCCTCTCCAGATTTGTCAGAGGTGGCCATGGGACACCTGTCTCTGCGTTTCCTCGGGATATTGGCCCAGCTGTGGGAAGTCTGCAGGGCTGGGCTCTCAGTCCAGGCCATGAAGCCTGGAACTCACTTCCTGGGCTCTGCCCGAGCCAGTCCTCCAGTAGCATCACGGGGACAACTCTTCCTCCACGGGCCCAACTCCTTTCTCACATACAAGGAGTAAGTGTGAAGATTGGGTCTGAGTCTGACCCCAGCTTCTGGGCTGCCTTTGTACAATGCTGTGAGCTGTTCTTTTGCCGGCCAACACTCAGTAAACATGGGGATGTGTCAGGCCCTCAGTAGGTGCTGGATCCCAGGATGATTGGTCCCATGGTCAAGCTGCCCGCTGGAGCCTGCACACTGGCAGAGTCCGGGATATCAGGAAGACAAAGGCGTGAGGTAAGTCCACATGAAACTGTTCAGCGGGGTAGCGGGCCTGAGAGCATTCATGGTTTTCCAGGGAGTTGGAGGAGACGGTCCCTGTGAGGAGAGCAGTTCTGAGCCCAGTCTGGGAGGAGAGATGAGACAGAGGGCAATCCCTGAGAGCGGCCATGTGACGGCAGTCAGCCTGTACGAAGGCAGCTCTTGTCTCTTTGGTGTAGTGACGTGTAGGGGCCCTGACAGAAATTTACTCGTAATTTTAACTTGCGCTGCAGTGCTGGTCTCCAGCCTCTCTTGGCTCTCAGGCCCCAGGAGTTTTGAAAGTTCCAATGAGGCCAAAGACCTGCACTCTGCTTTTGCTGGTGAAGGGAAAGGCAGCTGAGGGACGGACGAATGACAAAGGCAGTAGCCAGAAGGCAGCCTGATAGGCTGGCAGTGGTGGACCCCAGCATTTAGAGGCCATGTGCCTGCTGTGGTGACCCACCATTCTCCAGAAATACCTGGGGGGGGGGAGTTCAGGGCCAGTGATCATCCCAGGCACAACCTGTCATCAGGCAGTTCTGGCCCTGGGTGATCGGTCGCTCAGCCCCTGATGCTCCTTCCTGTCCCCCACACACAACCAGTCACCTTGGGGGTCCTGACACTGACGTGGGTTTGTCTTTCTACTCTGAAAATGGGGCACCAGAGGGATAGCTGTGACGGACACACAGAGACCGCCGTGTTCTGACCCTCTGTCGCTCTGTTCCTTGTAGATGTCACCAGCTAGGAGTGTGAACCTCACCAAAGCCCTGACGCATTCTGGGAGTCCCTGATGGAGAGAGATATCCTAGGCTGTCACCACAGTCAGCAAAGGTGCACCAAGGTCCTTCCGTGCCTGTGGCTGCTAAAGCAATCTGAAAACAAAGTCTTGCTGTGTCTGTGAGAGCCAATGCTCTGGAACACATTGGTTTACTTTGTTCTGTGGTTGATGTAGCTCTTTCTGCCAAGCTAGATCGTATGCCAGAAAGGAAGATGTCTAGACTTGAAATGAAAGTTCAGGTGAGGAAGATGGGAAGGTCCCATGACGCTGTCTCAGACCCAAACCAGTAATAGTCCTAGGAATGAATAGGCCCCTGACGTACCTACAGGTACGGTGGGGATCCGTGTGCCACGTCTCATGCAGACACCTTTCAGATCTTTCTGGGTGCAGACCTTCCTTAGCCAAGAACCTGGAAGTGGCTTATAATGTTGCACCATCTGTGCAGGCTCTCTGCTGACCTCTCTCTGAGCACTTTGGCCCCGTGGCTAGCTTCCTGGGCAATGCTTCCTGAGTTCAGGACTCCTATGCTAAGGGTCAGGGCCTCAGGAAGATATGGGCGTGCCAATGTTCAAGGTAGCTGAGACTCTCTGTCCTTCTCATCCCTTGGTTGCCCATCCTCTTCCTTCTCCTCTGCTCAGACTGACATTGGTCACTCATTCCTATGCCTAGACTTAGAAATCCTCTCAAATTGGGACTTGACCAAGGGCCACCTGGAAGAGGTCCAGTCTTTTGAGTTCCATGATTGTCCTTAGAAATGAGAGAACTGGGGATCCCTGCTGTTCTCCCTTGCTTCTCTCAGTGGATGGTGGTGTGAGGGCAGCAGGAAGCGCCTGGCGGGCTTTCCCCTCATAACTGGTTGTTGGAGGAGGAATGCCCAGGGCGTCTGAAACTTCCACGGGGAATTCTGACGTCGCAGTTGGAGAACAGAATGAGAGAGAGAGAGAGAGAGAGAGAGAGAGAGAGAGAGAGAGAGAGAGAGAGAGGAGAGAGAGCAGAGAAAGAGAGCCATGCTCTGTGCCTCTAGTCTCTCAGACCATGAGTCGAGGGTCAGAGCTTGATACAGTTGTCAGATAGGAGAACCATCAGACACATGACCCCTGCTGTCCCTGAGTTGTCTGTTTGAGGATCTGGAAAAAAACGTGGTCCAGTGTCATTTCCACGGTGGTGATTTTGACTTACACTGCTGGGCCACAACCCATTACCCCAGTGAGTAGGGAGCACAAATGCACGCAGGGTGTCCCGTCATACCCTGTCCGTGCTCGAGCAGATGGCTGTGAGAGCATGCATTTAAGCTTGCTTGCTTGGAATCCACTAGAGATGCCCTCGCACCCTGTCCGTGGCCCGAGCCCAGGCATTGGCACTGTCCTAAAGTGGGCCACCCCGTGTCAATATAGGCCTTCAATCACTCCTCTCTAGACCTGCTGACAGGTGAACCTCTTCTAGACGATTGCTCTAGACTCTAGTCCCGGGTCACTGTCAGCTGCACACATTGACAGTGGAGGACAGGCAGCTCTGTTACTCCCAGTGCAAACCCGTCAGCTCCATGACTGCAGGCTTCAGCCTCTTCGCCTCTTCGCTTTGCCTTGTCCAAGCCTGACGCCCAGCAGCCCTGTCCTCCCTTGCCCTCTCAGCATCTCCCCCAGAATAACTACGTTGTCTGTACTCAGCTGACATCATTGGGATGTCTCACAGGATCCCGGACTGATGCTTCCTAGGCATAGGTGATTTCCTAGCAGTCTGTGCTGGGTTCACAACAGTGCTTTTTTCTCTGTCCACCTCTGCCAGGCTCATATGAAGCTGTGACATCCCTTCTTCTCCCTACGGTTAGGGACGTTCAGTCCACATTCCCGATACCGCACTAGCCTGGACACAGCAGAGTCAGTGCATTGCAGCTCCATCTTGGTATGTATGTTGCCTACAATCCTCGGCCTGCTTTACACAGATAGTCTAGCTTCAGAGCCTAGGACAACTTGGGGAGCATTTAACATTAACGATGTATCTCGTCTCGCTTATTTACTTACTTATTTATTCTCTCCCTTTCCCTCCCCTCCCCTTCCCTCCTCTCCTTCCCTCCTCTCTTCTCTCTTACTCTCTCCTCTCTTGTCTTTTGTGGATGTGTGTCTTTGTGATGTGTGTGTAGCATCTGTGTGCAGTGCCTAGCATGTGGAGGTTGCAGGATAACCCTATGAAGTCATTCTCTCTGCCCACATTGAAGGACACGGGGATGGATTCTGCTGCTCACTCCTTTGAATGTTTCTGCAGGTGGAGTATATGGTGGACACGAAACAGTGCCAGCATTTACTGGAGAAGTTTGTGACTGCTCTGGCAAGTGGGAGCCTTGGCCTTGACCCACACACGTTCTGTTCTCCTGCCTTGGATGCCAGTCAGGACAAAAAAAAAACCTTCTGTCTCTCAGAATTGCCTTGGTTGTTGATTTGGGGAATGTCAAACCTCTTGCCTTAGTCCTCTGTCTTTAGATCTTGTTGAATCCTAGCATCCTAGTTCATGGCCCCTGAGCTTTATGCCTAGGTCATTTTACCAGGACTTTGTGTCCCTGTAACAGTTAGTATGGAACATCTGAGGACATGACTACCTACATGGTCGTACTCAAGAGCCCAAGGGTGGTCTTGTTAACCTGTGAGGAGAGCAAGCCAGCAACATTAATCTCAGAATGAAATCTCAGAACAGGCCCTGCCACTCAGTGGTCCCTGAGCCTGGAAGCTCCTGACTCCACTGCCCAAACTTCTCAGTTTATTCTGTGTTGGGACCTTTCCCTTCCTTCCTTGGTAGCATCAACAGAAGCTTGTAGAAACCTGAGTCCAGAAAGCCAGGGGATGGATTTCAGGGTGATCATGACTCATGTTGGCTCTCCTGGCTTCTGTCCCTGCGTTCACCACTAAGCACACCACATCTCTCCATAGGTCGTGTCTGCTCCTGTACCCTGAGCTCAGTGTGAGGGTTTGGAGCAAATAGGAAATGAATGGAATACAGGCTGTGAATTCTATGAGAAAGCCTGAGTCAGGCGCCCGAGGCCCTGGAACACCGCCATCCTGTTGGAGAAGGAGTACTCTCTGATGGCACAAAGACAAGGTAGAATGTCGGTCCACCTCACGAATTGCTCAGACATCCACCGCCCTGCCTTGGTTGAACTCCTTTCTCAAGGATGACTAACAAAGTCACAGCAACACCTTGATTGTCTTCCAGGAGATGGCTCTTGGCATGAGCCCCTCAGAGCTTCACTATGAAATGTTAACCGGGGATCGGACTGCCCTTCCCGTGGTCTTTCTTCGGGCTCGCCTTAGCGCTGAAGATCGCCATGGACATCATCTTTTAGATGCAGGTAGGATGGCCTCCGCAGAGGCCCTCAGCTTCTGATGCTAACTAACACTGTCGTGTCAGAATAGCTAGGAGGGGAGTGGGCTCACAGTACAGCTCAGTGCCTGAACACATGCCTGGCACATGTGACACCCCGGGCTGTGTTCTCAGAGGTCAGTGTGGGGAAATGACTCTAATCTGTAGAAGGGAAGTCCTTGACAAGTCTCAGGTCTCAGTTCTGTACCAGAGGTTTGAATGCACCAAAATCCTGCCCTTTGCTGAGCAGAAAGAGAGGAGGTGTGGATTGGGGGAGGGAGAACAGAAGGAGGATGGACAGGAAGAAAGGAGGGGGGAAGGCTTTCTTTGGGACGTCAGTACAAGAGGAGACCCCAGGCATGTTTCCTCTTCAGACCTTTCTGCCAGCCTTCTGCCAGCTTCCTTTTCCTTGTCTAGTTTTCCTTATTGAGACAGGCTTTCTCTATGTCACATGGGCTCTTCTGGAACTTGCTTTGGAGAACAGGCTGGCCTGGAACTCAGAGTGGTCCACCTGCCTCTGCCTCTAGAGTGCTGCATGGAAATGCCTTGGCTACCACTGCCCAGCACGGCCAGCCTCTCTAAGAACCTGCTCTGGTCATGTGATCCGCGGTCCATGGCGAAGGGCTAGGAGGGTGGACACATGGAGAACCCTC